GCTGGCCGCCATCTTGGTTAGCAGTTAATTTGCATATCTCAGTGATTAGCCAATGGGAAGGGTAGCGGCCATATGGCTAATTACCATGTTTCTCTTTTATTAGATAGGATATGCCAAGCGACCAGAACGACCAGTTGCTATGACACATACTGTGGCAGCCAACCAGCCCGATCGTGGCCCTGATCATGGCCCCCCAAACCTCCCTCAGCCCCTCCCCCTGGCTGGCCCTGCCCCCAATCAGCTTCCCCCCAACCCCGATTGGGGGATTGGGGTGGGGGTGGCCAACCTCCCACATCTCCTCCCCCCCACCAGCCCGGCCTGATCAGCCCCTATTGGGGTGGGCCGGCCAGACCCCACCTGTACATGAATTCGTGCATCTGGCCTCTAGTCTGATATATTACTGTCTTAAAGTTAGGCATGACCATATGATTTGCTTTACCTAGTGAAATATGACACTTCTGGCAGAAGCCTTTAAGAGCTGGGCAGTGATTTAACATCTTTTTCTTGTCATGGTGACTGGGGAGGTTCCAGGTAGTGGTGCTCCATAAACCTGGGTCCCTGAATGGACATGGAACAGTTCTCCCCACCCTCCTTCACACTGATTTTTGGAGGACATGGACTTTTAGTAAGAACTAAATCTTTGTATTAAGCTACTGAGGTTTTGAGTCTCCGTTACTAGAGAATAATCTAGCCCATTCTGACTATGTAGAAATTGGTACCCAGAAGGAGGTAGAGTTATGACAATGGAAAACCTAAAATATGTGGCTGTGACTTACAGGCTCAATGGACGTGGCAAGGAAACTGTTAGAGGCTGGAAAGTTAGTAGTCCATGTTAGCTGTGGTAAAATATGTGAGTCTCTCATTCTTTACCTTTACCGTGGTTATTCTGACTCTGTCCCACCACTGTACATTGAGTGTGTGTGTGTGTGTGTGTGTGTGTGGTATTTTGTGGAAGAGCCACACTCAAGGGACCAAAAAGCCGCATGTGGCTCGAGAGCCGCAGTTTGCCGACCACGGATCTAGCCCATTCTGACTATGTATAGACTGGTACCCAGAAGGAAGTAGAGTTATGACAATGGAAAACCTAAAATATGTGGCTGTGACTTAGTGGCTCAATGGGTGGTGTCAAGGAAACTGTTAGAGGCTGGAAAGTTAGTAGTCCATGTTAGCTGTGGTAAAATATGTGAGTCTCTCATTCTTTACCTTTACCGTGGTTATTCTGACTCTGTCCCACCACTGTACATTGAGTGTGTGTGTGTGTGCGCGTGTGTGTGTAAGCAGAGAGGGATGATTCTTTGTCTTTTGAGGTCTCTATAACAATAGAAGCTTATTCCTGTTCTAATATAGGGACCAGCAGCCATACCCAGAGATGCTATACTGAGATAAATGTCATTACTGAATAGAACTTTTGGATTGTCTCACTTGTGACAGGGGTGAATATATTTTGTAGTGTAAAGAGAGTGAACTGTAAATTGGTGACTAGAAGGATGGATTGCAGTAATCATTGGTGTGGGAAGCCACCTATTGTCTTCACTAGCAGAGAGGTGTGGACAAGGAACCTGGAAGGCTGGTGACCTAGCAAAGGTCAGGGCTATGCACCCACTGTTTAGTCCAGACAATGGTAGCTGAAGCAACTTCCCCATCTATTATCATGTAAATCCTTGCTGATGGGATAGTCTTCCTGTTACTGGAACTTGCCTGCCTAAGGGCTATGGGTGGATCCCAAACTGAATAAAAATATGGCAAGCGGAGTCCATCCTCTTGGGATGGGCTCCCGCCTGGCCCCCCAATTTCCAAATTATTATTTCTTGTCTCGTCTCTTTCATTTGTGTGCGGTCCCTCTTCCAGATCCTGAACCCTGAACCACGCGGGTCGTGGGGGGAACAAAAACAAACACATTACACACATTGGTGCTCTTCACCAGTAAATTCTGGTTATCTTCCTTCTGGAAAAACAGGATTGCATTTCTGAGCTCCCTTGAAAAATAGGCATTCCTGTATAATTTGCTTTTATCCAAGAAACGTGAATGGAATTGACTTGTATCACTTTCAGGAAGAACCAATTTGTCATTCATCTTCCTTGGACCTATCATGCAAGTGGGGAAGTTACACTGATTGGGGCTCTCCTAAATGATCAGGTTGCTTGGTGACAAGGACCTGCTCTGAAGCTCCACCCCCCCCCACCCCCAAAATTTTGGACCCTTGGTTAGGGCTTGTCCCTGCACCATAAACTAGACCAGGAGTGGGCAAACTTTTTGACTCGAGGGCCACAATGGGTTCTTAAACTGGACTGGAGGGCCGGAACAAAAGCATGGATGGAGTGTTTGTGTGAACTAATATAAATTCAAAGTAAACATCATTACATAAAAGGGTACGGTCTTTTTTTTTTTTTAGTTTTATTCATTTCAAACTGGCTGGATCCGGCCCGTGGGCCGTAGTTTGCCCACGGCTGAACTAGACCATCCTCACTAATGTCAATTATTGTAAAAGTGATCAGAAAGCTACAAATGCTTATCATTGGCAATTATAAGTGGGATCAGTAATTGAAACTATCCACTGATAATTCCTAAAGCACCTTCACAAGTGATTTTACTTACTTCTCCAATTGTGACCATTCTAGAAAGGTGATTATGAGATTTTAAACTTCATTTTCTTAATCTGTGAAAATGTAAAACTATATCTTCACTGTCGAGAGGTAGTAATGAGCAATGAAATACTTCCTTGTAGGAAAAAAAAAAAAGCAAGGAAAGGTGGATAAGGATAAACTACAAAACAGGGAGGGTAGTACTGAACTCAGAAATCAGGAGTTTCCAGGAAGAATTAAAACATATTGCCCACATACTTGTGCATACATTTGCAGTAATACACAGAACTTCTTAGTAAATTTTGGGTTCGGCCCCCTGCACATATACAGAAACACATGCGCAATTGCTGTGGTGCAAAAGTCAAAAGTGTCACTGAAGTTTATTTTAAATGAAAAGCTCTTTCTGAAGAAGAAAAAATATTTTCTCTAGCATAGTGTAGAATTCATTCCATAACATTTGTAAAGTGCTAAATACCACGCCACTCACTGTACTAGGGTCAGGCAAGTGAAAGATGTCACCGTACAGAAGTCTCAATGGGTCGCTGTCCTCCAGGAGTTTACATTTTGCAGAGGATAAAGAGTTTCCTCCTTTGGGGTTTTTCATCCAGTCACACCCAATGCCCTCCGTAAATAATTTTCGGTGAAAAGCCCCGCATCTTTCCCTAAGCCTTACACATATTCACACTTTCCGAAATCTCTTCGCCCTGGAAACTGATGTTAGGGCGGGATCGCTCTGGATATTTCGCAGTTATTTGGGATGAGGCCCCATGACCAGCTTGCTTTTTCCCTGCAGTGGCGGGATGACAGTGACCCCCC